CACTATACAGTATATGCCAGTTAGTGTGGATCGGTTAGAGTTGCATCAGTGTGTGAGCTGCAGAAGGAACAAGTACTGTAGATATTCAGCTTTTCAGAAATTACTCCACTTACTGTGCTTGCTCCTTATACTGTATACTGTACGTGTGTGTTAAAGTAATATCATATGTACAGTATTTGCACATTTTCATAACTCATGTGACCATTTCCTTAATCCTTAAATGAAAAACATTATACATAGATAACTAAAGCAAGTGTTTTATTTTCCATTTGCCTTTCTAATTCTTCTCCTCATGTGCCATTCTTTGTAGTAGTGTCTGATACATCTACAGCTACTTCAGCCACTAACATACCTCCTACTAATAGCACTTCACAGTGTAAGAAATTCATATTTATGCTATTTCCTGGTTGTCCTCAAGAACACCATCCTGCTGCAGACCGAGCTCTTTAAATGCCCTTTGTACATCTTTAATTCTGATCTTCACAACACTGACAAGCAAAGCTAATAGCTCAAAGTACAGTCATAGAATACCTTTTTTTCATATGTTAAATTTAAGGACTGTTTATTTTTATCTTGTTTTAACAGACTTGTTATTCTTATTTTTAGAAGCTAGGTTGTTTATTACTTAAATGTATACTTTTAATACTATTTTATACTTAAATACTTAAAAAGTCTTTGTGCTACATACATTAGCTAGCTCGTGTGCTTTTGACGTGAAGAAGACTTGAAAATTAAGAAAATATAATCCTTACTATTACAGAAGAATTATGTTTTTAAAAGCTTTTAAAAATCTTGAATGCACAGAATGTGTTCTTCTATTCATATAAAAACTCCTAAAGTATACTACTTATACAGTATAAAAATGCTATGTATCAGACACTGTATCAGATACTAATTAACATACTTGCTACAACCATCACATTTGAATGCTCATGAAAAGGCTAGTTTGAACTCTTTCCTATGGACTCTCTTTAATGCATATGCAGTATTCTGGACTATTTTATGTATATATAATATAGACCACATAATATATTAAACAAATGCTCTTCTCCTTGATGTAACAGAACAGAGGGATCTAGAGTGTTAGTCGTGGGTTAGACCATAGTGTATAAACACTCCTAAGGCTGAACTAAATAGTTCACAATCTGCACGGGTTTGTTAGAGATATTGGTTTCACCTGTTGCTGAAACATATTTTTTTCTTTAAAATGCAACAGGAAAACTTTACAGATGGCTGCTGTGTCAGGATAAAAAAATATCATAAGTTCCGCAAGGAAGATAGAAGCTTTACTGAAAGGGAGAGTGGAATGGCTAAAGGCCAAACCAGGGAGAGAAAATTTAAAAGAACAGGGATGGTCTGACCTCTGCCAATTAGCTACGTTTCCTAAAATTAAGAAAAATATAGTTATATATATATACATAGCTCCTTCAGACCACACTACCTAAAGATCTTCTACTAATTTCATACTGTATTTCAAATAATTATGATATTAAACAATATTTAATAAAGATTCTACTTTCTCACAAATATAGAAACAGTATGTACAGTAAACCAAATAAAGGGAACATAAACACTGGAAGAAAATTTAGAAATCACCACCTTTGCAGCAGCTACTGGAATTATTCCCCTTAGGGGAGGGAGTCTCCATTCTCTGTCTTGTCCCTTTTGCATCAATATTCACACAAGAGGTGTGGTATTGACTATGGCTGTCTGTTTTAGCTACCCAAAACTGCAACATGTGCCGTCTCTAAAGCTATGGTCCCTTTGAAAGGATCTAAACTAGTTTTGCTGTCTTTAAAAGGCTGCATGATTCTTAAATAACAAGACTCTGTGTTCATTTTACTGAAACATGTGACCAACCGATTGAGTATTTGCTGGTGAATTAGGTATCTTTCACTGAATATAGATATATTGAGAAATATTGCAACTCTGGCTGGAGTGGTGGTTAAGTAGTCATTATTTGCTTAGTCATTTTAATATAATTTCTATGTTGTGTTGTGTTACAGTCTTTGAACACTTCGGTTTTAAGGAGGATCTTTGACTCTGATAGTATTTCTGTCCCCCTAGAGTGCTACCTGAGCTTTCAATGTTACTAACTCTGCTTTTAACATTTCCTACAAGTAGTTTACATACTGATGCCATTTAGTAGGTAGTAATGTGGAGCACTTACTGTATTAGGGTTGTGGACTTCTCACTGGAAGGTTGTGGGTTGACATTCTAGGTGAAAATTGTTGCTGCTTACTTCACCATAAATTGTTCCATTAATATACCAAGCTGTATAAATGACTTTCAGAATATGTTTCCCTTTGATAAAAGCTTCATCCAAGGTTTGTAGTTCAATCTGCTCATGTGCTGCTCATTTACTTGCTACTTTTGGCTGTTTCAATTTTACTCAGCATGTCAGTTTTGCAAAATAAAACTGACTTGTGGTGTGGGTGTTTTCAATCTATATGTGAACTGCACATTTCTGATCAAAAGACTATTGCTGATTGACTGTTAATCGCTCTGTCTCCTATAACAGTAATAGACTGAGTTTTGTGAATTCACTTATATGTATTTGGTGGAGAATTTCACAAAAAACTTAGTGTATTTCAGTTTCTTTTGCATGAAGATTGTTTTGCTCTTCACAATAACAGTCTTAACAAGAGTATTGATATTCTAGCCCAAACATATCATTCTAGAGGAAGACTAAGCTAATCTGATCTGACTGTTCATCAAGAGGTTTCTGAAGAACATCAGCAGGGCTGTAGAAATGCTTTTAAGGTGGCCATATTCTCTTTCTATTCCAGTCTTACTGGGAGATGTCACAGTAATTCCAGTGTCTTTCACTCTCCTATTGATAAGAGGCTTGAACAATATAATAAGACTGTTTGTCGTTCTACTACTGACCAATGTAACACATTCATGCAATTATTTCATGAATAATATATATGATTAAAATATATACTGTATATACCTATATATATATATTATTAAAAATCAGATCCTAACCTCACCTCCTGCAGTTATAACAGCCACACCTGTTCCTTCTTTATGGCTTCAATTTTCTCTCATTTTTCTGCTGTTGATACTGCCTGTGAGGCTGAGGTGGTAGCTAAAATGACACCAGTTGCACTTGTTATGCCCCCTTTCTCTACACCCCTATTCAAAGCTAGTTTATCTGTTCTTTGTCCATTTGTTATTAACCTCAATTATGATTTCCTGGAATCTGATCTTGTTCCTGAAGGCTTTAAGTCTGCTTGCTCTCACATCTGTGTTAAAACAAACGTGGCCTAGTCGCATACTTAACAAATGGTAAAACCAAACTTAATTTCCCTTATATCACAAAAACACTGGAATTAAAGTGGCAGCTGAATTACCGTCTCTTCTTATATCCAATGAACACTTTGAACCTTTCCAGCTGACATTTAGATAGAGAAACGCTACAATTTAAGGAACAATTCAGAAATGAAACAGCCATTTTACTATAATAATTTGCTAATGGTTTCTGACTTTGGGTCACTTAATGTACTTGTATGTCAGAACGTTAAGTGCAGCTTTTGGTACTGTCAGATAAGATATCTTACGGGATCACAAGGCAAATTATCTGCGAACCAGTGGAACTTATTTCTTTAGTTTGATTTGTATGTACAGTGCATGTTTATTTCTTCATCAAAATATTAACCATCAAGGAGAGATTGAATGCAGTGCTCGTGACTTTCAGATGTATTCACTGACCAAATCAGATATGACTTCAACTGAACTGTGATAAGGCTGAGGTTCAAATAAGTCTAATATCATCTTTGCAAAGTTGGTGACTTCATTGTTGTTGTTGTTGTTGTTGACAGTGATGTAATAAAACATTTGGTGGGAGTTAGAAAACATGGTGTTATTATTCTCTTCTTATCTAAAACTGAAATATTAGATACATGCTTTTATATTATCAAGATTAGATTACTGTAACATCTTACTTACTGGGGTATTGTCTTAGGTACTAAATAGACTTCAGTACATCCAGAAGTCTGTGGTGTACATGCTAAATAAAAGTACTTCAAATCAGTACAAACTGGTTCCAATTGAAATGTAAGGAAATCCTGTTCACACATTTGGTACTGAATGGTCTAGCCCCAGGTTATTTAAATTGCTTATTCCATCAGTACAGTCCAGATCTTAACCTGAGATCTGAGCAAACCATCTTAACCTACCAAACTCCAGACTCCATCTAATAGATAACAGAGCCATCTCACGTGCAGCACTTCATCTGTGAAACTTGTTGGCAAACAACATTAGAGATTCAAAGAGTGTCAACATTCTTAAAAATGACTTTTTTCCCCTTTGTTTTGCAATTGTTTGTGCAATTGTACAACCCATTGAGTTTGTTGAAAAAATCAATAGTTGAATTTTTATTCATATTATTCTGAAGATGCCCTTTCACGACTGACCCTCTATTTCTCGGCTGCTTTAGACATTTGAAATGGCTAAATGAAATGAAAATGAAATAAAAATCAATTAATACATTAACTGTCAATTTATACATTAACTGTTATACTGATAAGACATCAGTTTATTTTCCCAAGTACTTGCTATTAATTGTACAGAGCTAACAAATGTGTATGTGCGACCTGTTCTCCCACAAACATTCTTTGAGGTTAGATTTCAATATTACTATTGAACAGCTGTAATACAAGGTTAAACAAAGGTAATTTCCACTTCTGAAAAACAAGCTTTATGAAGGCAAGATACCTGCAAGTACAACTTTGCTTGATTCAAAACCTTCATATTGGACTTTGAATAGCTTGGTTTGGGGAGATTAGGTCACATTAAATCTATTGTTATATTAGAGGTAAAAACACAAAACTCTAATTTGCCATTTTATTCACAGCATTGAAAATAGTTATTTTAGAATAAGAGTGTAAGTGTATTATATAGACCAGAGTTAAGAGAAACCAATAAGTGCAAATAACAGTAACAATTTGCTTTAACTTCTTTATTTTTCACAATGACCAATTGTCACGGAGCAGGAAATGATACGCTGACAGATCTTTGGTTGTCTTTCAACTTCACCGAATCCGAGGTAGCGGGCTCTACCCCACCACAGTCAAGATCACATGTCATCCAGGGTCCTAGGAGTTTGAAAACATCCTTGGGGATAATTTCAACACCTTTAATTTGGCCCAATAGGAAGAAACCAGACATTGTCACTCAGAGACAGGAAAAGCCGGTGATCCATCTGACTAAACCTCCGATCACAGATGCAAACCACACAACAGCCGTTCCCTCTAAGCCCAAAGTGGCCACAACACACTCCGTTGCTAGGAAAACAAAGGAGATACCTCATGACACAACTCATTCAGAAGTGGCTTTCCCATGGCAACCAATGGACAGCCAGAACAGAAGTGATGACATAGAATCATTTCAGGCAGCTTCACTCAGTAATCGCAAGAATAAGCCACTAGTTCCATACTGGACCCTGAATACTGACAGCGAAAACAAAACACTGAATTGGACAGATGCTTCAGAATACCCTTCTGGCTCTGAACCAGCTGTATATGACATTGAAACTTTCAGTGGCATGGAAACCTTTTCTTTCTATGACATGGATTCTTCTTATAAAGTAAATGCAAGCTCAGTTTCTGTTCCTCATAATGCTTCCAAAAATGCACCTATTGTCACGAAAGAAGAATTGAGCCAGATGACTTATTCTGCCAGAAGTTACTTGTTGGCAGAGAGCTCGCTTCGGGTTGCTCAAAGCCGCTTTGTAGAAATCCATCTTTTCAACAGGGTGCTTGAAGGGACAGGTGTGCAAACGCCTTCACAAAGACTGAGCACAATCAGTCAGGCAACAGCAAATATGAACTTTCAAACCAACCAGGCTGCACTGCCATCCACATCTCTAGACTTCATTCAGCATTTAAGAGCTGAATCACAGACACAGATATTAAGTTTCAACCCATCAGGAGCCTCCGTGCCTCATGGGTTGTCCACTGGCATTATACCCAACTATCAGGAAACAGTAATGTCTGTTTCTGGAAAAGAACACCATGAAGAAAGTAGTAGTTTCGATAACTTTTCAAAAGAGTTAACAAGATCTCCATTTCTATATAAAAATGACATTTCTACATTTAGGAAAGATACTGCCTACTTTGGCAATATTAAGAGTGATGCAATGCTTCCTAGCAATTCAGTAACTATTCAGCCTTCTCAAACTCTCACAGAGCACTTGAAAAATTCAGAAGCTATTTTAAAGGCATCAGCAGGGATTCAAAGTGAAGTATTAATAATAGAACCATCTAGGCCAAATATACTGCTCTTGTCAGATATGTCAGAGGTTTTCCCTTCTTTAATACATGATTTTATGGAAACAACCCTCACTTCTTATGATACAGATTATAGTTCCCTACTTCTTCCATCCTTGAAACATCAGTTAGAATTCACTGGAAACTCCCATACAGAGGACCAAAGACTCCCAATATATCAAAGTTCATTCCCTTCAAACCTGAAACCAGATAACACAATAATCATGTCAGAAACAATTAGTGATTCTGAGATGAGTTTCTTTTTATCTTCAGAACAATCCAATATAAACAGTTCAACAGAGCTCCTTTTCAGCAGCTTGACAGGCTACAACAGTAATAATCCTTCAGACTCTGGCCTTAAAGAGTTGTCACCTAAAGCTCATATTTACTTCAGTGCTGTCACTCATTTGACTTACAAGGCCCTCGAATCAATGAAAAATGAATTGACAGATTTACAGTTTTTGCCTTTTAATGCATTTTCTAAAATTAAAGGAGGGACAGCACAGTACACATTTAGCACAGACTCCTTTCTATCAGAAACCAGTATCCTTCCAGAAAATGTATTTGAGGAACTGGCAAACAGTTTTTCAATGAATTTAACAACAGGAATTATTGAGGATGAAAGTATTTATTCCATGGTTCAAGTATACTTGTCATTTTTAAGTGCCTCTTCAGCTTATTTAACAGGCAGGGCCCACTCAGAATCCATTTACTCTCTTACACTGAGGGAGATATCTACATCCTTCCATGGTCTACAGGGAACTCCATATAACGTTAATGAATTAGAAAATGCTTCAAAGAAAAAAACAATTGTATCACAGGATTATTTCTATAGTGGTGTGCAGCCTCCACCTAGCAGTAGTTTTCTCGGATCTAGCAGTGCATTTTCACACTTGAGCCATGAGCTTCTGCAACATCCATACATCAGCAGTTCCACTAAAACAAACTTGCAAAGCACTCCAACAAATTTGAACTCAAGGATTACTTCTCAAGGATTACTACCTGAGATATACTCTGATATGACTTGGTATTCACAGGAGTCCCAGTCTGTCAGTTCTGAATCTTACATGAATCTCTCACAACTGAGTGAGCCGTTTCAATTCAAAGAGCAAAATCAATTTTCTTATCCTACCCATCTTCTGGAAATGACCTCCGTGGAACCCACTGCTGCTCCTCAGCACATGGCCACTATCTTCAAAACCCCTGTGTCGAATGAAGTCATTATGCAAGAATCTTCTATCCTGTCAATGAAAATGCAGCCGGCATCTGGCCCAGTGTGGTCTACCAGATCTTCAGGAGCTGTAGAAAGTGAGTCCCCTGTGGCCAAAGATGTAATGGCTTCATCTGAGCTGAATCTTCTCCTATCTGGTTCAATGTTGGCAGGAAATGTGCAGTTTGAGATTTCTGCTGAAGATGACAAAAGTGATGAGAAATGGGATGATGGACTTGTGCTTACTTCTTTGGATCAGGATTTGCCTATGGCAAGTGCATCGCTTGTTGTCCAGACACCTGCCAGTTATGCAGAACTCGTATATAATAAAACATCAACAGAGGACCACCTGTCTGGCTCAACAAAGGATCCTCATATTTTAAATATGTTAGGAAGTGGAATCAGTGGAGAAAACATTGACCTGCAATTGGGAAATACCACTGGAAGTCAAACAACAATGGGTGTCACTGAAGTCACCCTGTGCCTATGCAAAGATCATTTTGATAATTCATGTCTTTGTGGATTTTCAACCAGCAACCGTATGTTATAAAAAACACTACTATATATATGTAGTTTTGGACTAGTTCTTAGTACCAATAATAAAATGCAGTAGTTGTTTTTTGTTTCTTTGTTTTCTTTCTGTAGTATTCTGTAGATTTTCTTATATCTAATGGTGAGGTGATTTGCTGTGCTTAAATGAGTGGAGCCCATATAAATTGATGGGAGGAGGGAAATTAATCACAACAGACTACAATCAAAAGCCTGAGATTTTTTGAGAACTGGAAAATGATTGTTTAAAATGCAAAATCAGCTACTAATCTTGATTTCTAGTTTCCTTGTATGCCAACTCTCAGGAGACTGCATGTCAATTAACTGTATCTCAGTCAAAACAATGGGGTCTTATTTGGGCAATTAAAGAAAAGTCTGTCAATTTATTTGAAATCACTTAAAATACTGAAGTCTCCTAAGAGTGAAAGATTCTGCTTAGCACTTCAGTAGAGATGTAATTCAAAATAGACTAACCTTGGATGGTACTGGGTTGTCATCTAGTGGTGACTGTGTGGCATAGCAGCAGAGGACTAGTAATTTATGTTCTTTATTAAAACATTTGTTCCTAAGTTGACACCAGGCAATATAATGCTGATATTTATTTTGGTTACATTTTACTGTATCTATTAACATTTTTGTTTGCACAGTTCAGTTATTATATATTTGGAATTAAAGGTGTAGTACAGTGGACTATGCCTTGAATACATTATTGTTTTAAGGGCTGCAGGCTTTGTCATGAAAACTAAAGGTTAGTCTAACAAATGAATTGATGGTAACAGTGCTGAATGTTGTAGCCATGTTAAATACCTCTTTGATTAAACCCTAAATTAAGACTTAAACCCTTATTACTAAAAATAACGAATCTTTAATTTACAAAATGTATTAAATTTTTGTGCATAATAATAACAGTAGGCGTCTGGCTCCTTCCGAATGCATTTTTGCATGCAGCAAGTTGCATTCATTACACAATGAATGTAATGTTTGTTTTGCATGCTTTTCTTTTCATTTTGAGGGTGGTACACCCCTTGTTAAGCAGTCATCCAGTTAACATATTTACTGCAACAGACAGGCACATCTCAGAAACGTGTCTACTTTTTCACCTAGTATTAATACAATACAAGTATAAAATACAAGAAACACAATGAATTACTAAACAAATACTAGATAATTTACAAATATGACATGGCTTTTAAAGAGTATGCGTTTAGTAAAATACTGTGCATACTGCATCTTTTGAACACCAGCATTGAACACTACATTGAGATTTTTGTGAATAATGTTCCAATACTGAATGTGAGAGTGTTTTTTTACCCTCCTGCATTCCTGCTATGCGACACAGTGTAAGATTGCTCAGACACAGACATATTCTTCTCATTGGTTAATTTCCTGTATTTCCTTTTTTTAACAGAAGGGATATTCTACAGAATTTCTTTTGTTGTGTATGAGTACCAGGTTCATGTTACGGAACTGGAAGTGGAACAAGCTGTACTAACCTGGGTAGGACATATTCTACGTCAAAGTCACTTTGACGTTTTATGAACTATATTTAGAAATATAATGGCTGTATTGTTCTTCACTGCCATAAAATATAAAGCAGTTTGTTGTGTTAAGTAAAGGCTGAAAATTGTTTGGAATTGTTTATTTTGGATATATAATACAGACTGTATGTACAGTATGATAGAGTGTTACTGATATCTCACATTACCGTATTGGCAAAGCAATGGTCAGATTTCTAAAGTATCTGACCATTTCTAAAGTGGTCAATTATATGCTAACTGAAGTAAAAAAATCAAATTATATGTTGGCATTTTCTCAACAAAATAGAAAAACAGTATTACATACTATTCTCTGTGCAAAATATAGGCTTCAGTGCCTTTTATTAAAAAAGACCACTTCTCTTTTTAAAGATTTTCTTTAGCTAATAGCATAGTGAGAACATGAAAGCTGCGTGATTGCATAATGACTTGCTGTACAGTACATATAAAATCCAAGCAATGCTGTAGGAATATTAAATTTCATATGTCTGTACTAAATTTATTTTATTTATTTTAAACAATTATTAATAATATGTATTTTATAGTTTACAGTCTTAATTTATGGTGTGCCTTTACTTTTTCAGCTCAACCACACATTTCAAAACTGGACATACTCTGTTTATGTGGCTAATATCAGGTAGAGTATACACTCTGAATGTGTTACAGTGTTGTTTTAGTACAGTCACATGTATTGACTTATACAAGGAAAACTCTTGATTTATTCACTCTTATATTCTTAGCTTAAATATCCCATATATTTAACAATAAACTAGTTGCAAGATTCAAAACTGAGTTTGTATTTTTACAAAGTGTATATTAATTGGACAGTGAGCCTTAAGCTCTTACCTTATTTTTGTGTTTACCAGCATTCAGGTCAGCAGCAGCATATCCTCAAGATCTGCACGGAGCACTGTCAAAAGGTAAAAATTACTGTACTGATCTGTCATCACAATATTTACCCCTTAAAAGTAAAGGTCATTAACAGATCTTCTCAAACAACTTTTATGACAATCCAAATGTTGTAAAAATAGGCAATAATTTTGTGGTGATACATCTTTAAGACAAATTAATTATGTATTTATTGTATCAAAATTACAGTTAACATTTAAATTCCAGCATTATAATATCTTGCACAAGCATAACAGGTGTCACGGACGTCCAAAGGGACTAACCGTGGGGAGCAGGAGAGCAGAAAAACACCCATATGCGTAGCGGCGAGATGGGAAAAAGGCCCGGGCTCATTAGTGCAAAGAGTTCAGGAATGCCGTATAGAAACCTATGCCCTCAGGGAGCGGACGTGGGGCGCCCTGGTGCTAGGCGGGTCTCAGAACATCCGAACATCAATGCTGAGCGAGGACAGAGTGCAAGACCCGGAAATATATAGCCCAAGGAAGAGAGGGACAGGAAGGACAGCAGACCGGAAACTAGGGACAGGACAGAGAAGGAGCACCCTCTGGCTGCAGAGGGCGTGACAACAGGATGTGAAGTGAGGAAGACCTTTTGAGTGGATATGGATAAATATGTTCAGGACTCAGAAAATCAAACCCTAAAATGCAAATACTTGTTTACAAGAGACAATGATAAAAAAAACTATGATTTTGTTTTAAGAGAAATCTATTTACTATACCTATCAATACCATTTTTTGTGTATACCATGATTTTAACATAGTCACATTTCTTTGAAGTTGTTTCTATTTCTACCATTCTGCTTAAAGATTTTAATTTGCTTTCGTGGGATTACTTTAATACTCTAGTCCTGAAGGATTGTTTTTTGTTTAATCTTTGTCATTATTTTCACATTAATTTCAGTGAAAATGACTCACCCACCACCAGAGATAAGATTTCCTATGTCTCAGTTCACTCTGTCACATGTGTGTATCTCTGCCGAAGTACAGAATGTCGGGTACAAACAGAGACTTGGTTATGTGGGGGATTCAAAACCCTAACATTTCACCTTGAAAAATCTAGGGTCTTCATTCTGGTTCATGTCTCGATCGAGAATAAATAAGGTGCTTTCAATTTAATTCTGGAGGGCATTTTTTTCCATCAGAAGTGGAAGACTGGGTGGCTGGGACCTGGGGCACTTTCAGAGCTATAGGAAGGAGTGACTGCCCATAACCAGTACATATCCCTTACTTTTCATTTGATTTGTATTAAAATATAAATTAAACTACACTCATCCCTTTTAAAATTAGCACTTTACTTTCAAGTACTTGCTAAAACAAACAATGAATATACATACCTTTCCCCAGCTAATCCAAGCACAGACTGCAACTTGTTCTTCCATTTGTATTTTTCATGCCTCTCAGCTATTGTCTTAACAGTGTCTTAACAGAAATTGTAAGGTTGTTATACTACTTATGGTGCAAAATAATATTTGAATGTATAGCATAAAAAAAGAAATCTGAACATTTTCTTCGACAAAATGTTTTATTTTGATTATGCACACTATAAATGCATGTTATTGGTGTGACCAGACAGGTCGATATTCTGTCTTACTTTTAAATGTTATTTTTTTTTTATTTTATAGATATTAAGCTGTACAAAATGTATTAACTATCATGATACATTTTTGTTTATTGAGACATCTTGATGAAATTTTAGTTCTCCCCATAATGGCTTCAGAATACATTCTTATGTGTACTTCATACACATAATAATCTAACAAAAGAATTTACCCACACTGGACTTCTAAAGTAATTCAGTTAATTAGTTATTTTCTGTTTTATATTTATAATCAATTGAGGATGATCTGTAGGATTTTGTTTTTACTGTGACATTATAGTGTGTTTTGTGTTAATAAATGGCAAAATATCACAATTAAATTATGATTCCATATTGAAATTTCACACAATACCTTGCGGAAAAGTGCAAGAAGGGTGAATACTTTTGATACCCACTGTAACCACTTGCATAAAAAACGAATTGTTGGTAAATTCTGCTTCTTATAATGTATACTTAGCAATTGATGGTGCCAAACTATTCAAATACATCTGAAAGGTAAAGTACCTACAGTAAATGCGGCTGGTTTATGCCCAGCTATGAGGACTTGGAATGAATAAGTGACCTTTAAATATGTTTTAATGGGAATTTGGGAACCAGTCACCTGCACAGTGAGAGATGAGTGTATTAGTCTTTTTGATTTTTATGCACTCAAAAGACCTTAGAATTTATATTTATGTAATAAATAAAAGTTTTATCTATAGTGACAATTTTGTCATTTCTAGATACATATGTCAAGCATTGCTCATTTACAAATATACCAGCGTTATCCTTCTTCAAGAGGAAGCCATCCAGCGCCGACTGGTACAGAACAACATTACAATGGGCAGTGGGCTGGTGCTAGAAACTGTAGCTGTCCAGTCAGTTGGTAAGAGTAAATCTACGGCTCAAACCTTTAAATTAATGTGCATCACAGTTTGGTTCTAATTGCAAATGTTGATCTACTTTGTATAATAATTTGAATTATCAGATTTCTCTGTCCTGGCCCACACTTCTGGAGGATATTTAAATTTAGTAAGGTACTGTATTGATTGGTTTGTATGTATAAAGCAACAGACTCAGGTTCATTTTTAAATAAAATGTATTTTACCTACTGTATATATGATGAACTCTTGTTGACCTAAACATACCAAATTCTGCTAATATATTTTTGTAAGCAACATTTTTGTGTTTTCTATTTGTTTTAGTCAAAATCTCTTAAACACTAAAAAACACAAGAATATTAAGTTACATTCTGTGATGCATTTTAAAGAAAAGAAGAATAAAAAGTGGAGACATTATCTCCACTAATGTTTCTATCTTGCTTGGTATTCTAGAAAACTGTTATGCTGAAGAAAATCCCTTCCATTATAAATGGCCAGAGAGCAGACCAATAGTTACTCAGTTTTCACCCTGCTTCCCAAATAAAGCTCAGAATGCTTCAAGAACATGGTGAGTCATCTGTACTGTGCCTTTTTCTTTTTCTGAAGAGTAATGGTTTACAAGCCAACTGTTACCATAGTGAGTTTTTACAATGGGTTATACATTTTTGGTATTTTAAAAGCATGTGGGAAATGGTAAAGGGCATTTTGAAGGATATATTTTGCGATAAGGTTTATATTATATAAAAGATAATGTAAGGCAACATTAGTGTTTGGTGTTTTCTTACACTGTGCTGTTTTTCTGTTAGCATGTTAAATTTGCAGAACTACACATCTTATTGGAGCCCACCTGACCTTGGTAATTGCACAGGTGACATTGACAGCATTGCAGTGTCTGCTGGTAAGGTTTAAAAACACTGATACAGCTCTATTAATTAATCTATTGGCATTGTTATTAATGCAAGTACGGACAATAAGGAAATTAAACAGGGACATATTACTTAAACTAGACAGACTCCTGTTGTTGAAATTTGATTTTTAATTAGGATATGAACCAAGAATAACATTTCAACTAAAAAACTTGGAATAGAGAACATTTTAAGAAAATCTAATGAGGAAATTATTAAACCAAACAAAGAGTGGCATCAAAGCTCTACTGAAAACTTTTATAAAAAGATACATTTTTTTTCAATTTTGTTCCGGTGTAGGATGACTATTTATCTCAGCAAAATAGTTCATAATCAGCAGAAAAACAAAATGTAACCTGTACATGTAGGATGATGTTTCTCAGTGCTAATAGTTATGCTGATGCTGACAGTATCCCCTTTTCACATTCACAAAAACAAAATACAAAAAGTAGGGGGGATATTAATAATCAAATTATTGTTAAATTACTTTTTATACAGTTTCTATTTGTCTATTGCATCGTTCTTACTATCACATCACTGAGAGAGTGTCTTTACATATGTTTTTTCCACTTTGACCATCTTTTTACAAATATGTG